CTCTCTCTCTCTCTCTCTCTCTCTCTCTCTCTCTCTCTCTCTCTCTCTCTCTCTCTCTCTCTCTCTCTCTCTCTCTCTCTCTCACCAACGGGCGAACTCAAATGCGATCTCTCTTCCTCCCGGAAGCGCCGATACAAATACGGTCCTCTCTTTCGCGCGCGCGTATACCCACACGCGGTCCTCTCTCGCCTACACGCGCCCACACATCCGGCCCTGCATTCTCCCTCTCCCTTCACCCGCGCCCCTCACGATTACCCCGACGAGCTTCCTCGCCTCGCGCCAGACATCCTCACTTAGCACATACTCGGCTTTTTTAACACCAACTTTCTCGCTCAATCCCCTTCATTCGACTCTCGAATTCTCTTGCTTTTTCTCCTTCAGCTTGCTCATCCGATCATTCTGCCCCTCTCACTCCTCCCAAAGAGATCATCTCTCTCTCTCTCTCTCTCTCTCTCTCTCTCTCTCTCTCTCTCTCTCTCTCACACACACACACACACACACACACACAGAGTGGGGTGACATGGAAGAAAACTGTAAGACAGAGAACAGAAGGGAAGGAATCAAAACTACTGTTTGCGGAGCAGATTGGTCATCAAAGCGCACCTGCATAAGCAGAGTCTTGAAGGCTGGTTCGTCGATTCCGGCGGCAGCAAAGTGCTCACAGTACTTGCCGAGACCTCCCTGAATCAACCATTTTGATACCTGGTCCGTCATTTTGGTTCCACCCGCGCCACCTTTTCTGCCCTCTTGATGACCTCCATCTGGAGGCGGCCCCGCCATGTTAACGCTGCTCTCGCCGTCGCCGTCGTCGCCGCTCCCTCTCGATTCCTCCTCACACGATTTCCTTCCAAAATCAACGGCTAGCACAGTGTTAAAACAGCTTCCACACCACCGCCTCCTCTGCCATTGGGTCGCCAGAAAATGCGCCCCGCTCAATCCCTCGCCAATTCCACCTTCACCTGCCCCCCCTGTCCGCCTGCCGGGCAAAGACAGCACAAATGGGCAACGACTGCAAAAACAATTAAAGCCAAAAAGAAGAAAAAGAAGGTATAATGAAGCAGTGCCGCTGCTGCTGGCAGTGGTCTTAATGCATACGCACTGCTCACTCCTGCAGACAGCGAAACAGGAGACGGTTTATTCAGACAAGCGCTAGAAAATTTTAAACGGAGGCGGGTAGATCAACATCATCGTACTCTCTTGCCAGGAAGAAATCGACACAATCCACGGAACAGTCCGAACAGTCGACTCTACTGTTCAATGAAGAGGGAGACAAGAGGTCTGAAATGATAGCAGACGAGATCTGAAGTACGGGCAGTCGAGATCTGAAGTAAGAGCAGACAAAAGATTTGAATGTGCAGCTCACCGATCAACAGAGAAAAGGAAAAGTGAACGTTCCAGCATGAAAACAATCAATCAAAAACCTCTGCAGATCAATGGAAAAGATGGGTGACGGAAGGGAACGCACGGGGGAGGAATGAAGGAACGAGCAGCCGGACACTGAATGCAATACAAAAATGGAATCAGCACGATCGATCATTATGGGCTTCAAGGGGAGGGCAAAACCAGCTGCAGGGCGATAAAAGACAACTGGCAAAAACAACAGGCATGATGCCCATCCGGCGCTCGCCGCATTCTTCAGGACCTATCCCTTGTCTTGCGACAAGACACACACAGGTGATTATCCCCATAACATGCCCATCTGGCGCTCGCCGCATTCTTCACGACCTATCCCTTGTCTTGCGACAAGACACACACAGGTTATTATCCGCCCCCCCTCTTCTCTCTCTCTCTCTCTCTCTCTCTCTCTCTCTCTCTCTCTCTCTCTCTCTCTCTCTCTCTCTCTCTCTCTCTCTCTCTCTCTCTCTCTCTCTCTCTCTCTCTCTCGCTCGCTCGCTCGCTCGCTCTCATCGGCACACAACTCAAGGAAGGCACAGAGCCATTCTCACGCAAACACGCGCGCCGGGACACAACCACAGAACAGCCTTATGAGGATGGCATCCCTCTCTTGACGATAGGCAGAAATTTGAGAGAATCCTTCACCGTTCAGGCTGTCCCCCTAGCAACGGCAGACAAGACAGAAGGTAGGTGACAAAGAGATAAGGTGCGCGAAGAGGAGGTGCGAAGACAGAACGAAACTCCGCTCTCGATCTCCAGAAACCGGTCTCCATGAACTGCCAACTTCAACTTTGCATGAGGCGTTCTCTACCACTCTTTCTCGCCTTCTACGATTGTACGGCTCTACGATTGTACGGCAAACACTGCAGTGAAAGATGTCATTTCAAACAGTGCACGCCACTGATTACTGATTACCACCTTCCACTTCAGCGGACAGCGCGTTCTTCGTTCATTTCAAGGAAGTCACTCACGTGCTCCAATTTGTAAGAGCTGACCCCGTCTCCTAGCGATAACGAATTCGCGGTGCGCCTCCTCGCAGCAGGGAGGCAGAGCCCGTCAAAGCAGTTGGCGTGGGCACGACTGGAGGCAGACGGTGGAGGGCGAGGAGGCGGGAAGATTCGTCGACAATGTAGAAGGTCGACCATGAGGCCAAAACTGTGTCGCCCCAGACACAGGTCACAGGCGCTTCACTGAACGCCCCCTGCTACAGCAGTGGCTTTCTCTGCGATCGGCTCTGCAGAGCGGAGCGCATTCGAGTTTGGCAGTTCATTAGCATGCGCATGCCAGGAGAAAACGGAGAGCATGCGAAAGCCAGGCATCAAAGAAGATTGTGGCCGAGCCACATACCAATCAAAGATTCCATCCACATACCAATCACAGACTCGATTCAGAGTTGCATTGCCGAAGGGTGAAGGGCGATGCTAAGGGGAATGACACCCCTCGCACTGCATCTAGTTTCTAGTACATCTGCACTTTTTTGAATCGTACTCCCCGACCGCCAGTGGTGGGGAGAGCCAAAAGAAAGGGGAAAAAAAAGGCCAAAAGAGCCCGCGACGTAACCCCTTGAATGATGCGATATGTGAATATGTAGCATCTCCGCGCGCGCTGCACTGCCGCTATTTCTTCGCACGCAGTGTGGACGCGGTCATTGGTTTTCTCAACGAGCACCTACCTAACCAATATTCCCCACGGGCAGCCAGAACCGGATTGCGTTCCCTCACCGATTCGGACTCGGTAGACAGGAAAGAAGCCAAGGGGAAAGACCACGGGGGGACGGTCGGCGTGGTCAGGACCGGCGTCTGACTGGAGATCACCCGCGGCGCCTCTTGATTCCTCACGGCAGGCTCGGCTTACTCGAGCGCGACCCAAGAGTTCCGCATGAGCCCCTGGAGACCCTCTTGGGGCCCACCTCAAGCTATCATACCTGAGGCTGCCCCTACCGGTGGTTTGCCACCCTCGAGCTGCAGTTCTAGTAGGGTCTGGCGTCTGTCCTCTAGGTTGGCAAATGTTTTGTCTGATCATCACTGCTGGATACGGTTTGAAGGGGGGTTTATTGTCTAACGCAGGGGCACAGGGAACAAGCCTAAGGGTCTATGTCCAACGCCCCTCAGGCTGTGGTATAGTTCGCAGCCCTAAGGGCTGCGGTATGGTGGGGTCTGGCGTCTGTGTCAAAATGCCCGAATGTTGGCAGTGGACGACCACTCCAAAATTGCCTACCGCAAGGGTGCGGGGAATGCAGCCCTAAGGGATTACGTTTCTTTGTTTTCTTTTAGAGCTAGGGAGAGAGAGAGAGAGAGAGGGTGTGGGGAGGGCTGATGTGTTCGCTTTCGGTGCAGCCTTTGTGCTGCAAACACAAACACTTAAACCCACCATACCGTAGGCTTAGGGTTGCAAATTATGAGCCTGGCCCAATAACCGAAAGCAATGGGGCTAAGCACACATAAGACTGAGTGAGTGAGAGAGAGAGAGGGGGGAGAGAGAAAGAAGGGGACGGGGGGCTACCAAAGAAAGAAAGAGAAAGAGAGCGGTTGAATGGCAAAAATGGAATTGTCTACCGTGTGGGCGCGGGGAACGCAGCCCTAAGGTAGTCAAATCAATGAGACTAAGAGCTAACACAAGAGAGAGAGAGAGAGAGAGAGAGAGAGAGAGAGAGAGAGAGAGAGAGAGAGACAGAGAGACAGAGAGAGAAAAAAATAAAATAAAAATTTGTTCCATTTATTGTTATGAGTGTGCGAGAGAGAGAGA